AAAAAAAAAAAAAAAAAAAAAAAGAAAGAAAGAAAGAAACGTAAACGAAGCAGAGTGGCACCTGAGCCCCAGAGCGGACGACGCTCTTGAAAAATCGTGTTTTCCTAGCGCGGCAACTCGAGAGGGTTCGAAAATTGATTAAAATCGAGGCAGAAATCGAGCAGCTAGCGATTTTTCAACGTGGACGCGTGGAACAATGTGTCGCTATTTTGCCTGAAAACCGACCGAGGAATCGACGCGATAAATCTCGGCTGTCGGGGGTCCATGTAAGAGCAAAGGACACACGCATGCGCGAAGACACCGTTCCACGCAAGAACGTCCCATTAGTGGTAAGCATTATTTCGCCGCACGATTCGCCACCCTCCTTCTCCCCAGCTCCAATCCCCTACCGATTTTCTGGTCGAGAGTATGTCAATAGATATCGATTTTTTCCCTCTATTTTCGAATTTATATACTCGAGCCTGTTCGAAATTTATTTCCTCCTCCTTCGACCCCCGTAAAGTCCACATTGTCGTAACATTACGATTGCTGCGTTAGGTAGCTGAATTTTACGTGGAAAAATAGACTTCCTCTTTCGATATATAACGTTTCGTACATATTTATAGAGTGAGATAATAAAATAAAGGAAAGGTTGCATCAGAAATGTTAGAATTGGAGTTCTGCGTTTGTTTCGAAGATAAGTGTTGTTACGTCGCGAATTAAGGACACTTAATAATGTGCCTATATACGACGAGGCGATTTTTATCGCGATGCCGGCCAGTAATGGAGCCAGAAACGACTATAATCGCGATTTTATCTGCAAAGGACTCTTAAAACGATCCCTTTACTTTACCCGACTTTGCCCGACACGACCCCTTTTTAATCGATAGAAACCTGCCTTAATCCTCCATAAATCATGACACCTTTGTTACCGAAAATGCCTGCACAAAACGATCTCCCGATAAGATCGTGATTTAACAGGATCAATGAGAAACGCGGCATAGCCCTGTTACACTCCCTCAATCTTTTACGTCTCAATCTATGCCTCGATCCCAACCCCGACAAAGAGAAAAGATGCCTCTGTTGTTGTCAAACAATATCCTCACATTTTCAATCCTTCATATATCAGAATAGAAGAGAGGGGGTATTCCTTTGAAGCAAGTCAAATTATTAACTTTATAGTTATCGCCATTATGCCATTTTCAAGATTTTCGATTGCAACAGATCTTGCGTTTAAACGTCTTCGAAAGGCGGTTCCACTTTTGGGGTGGGCAAAGCTCAGGTTCGTTCGCACGTGGTCCATCGTCCAAACAAGCAGAAAGGTTAATTACTCGCGGGAGTTCATTTCAGGTGAGCCCAACAATAATTGCAAAACGCGAACATTTATCCGGTGCCGTTGTATGTGTGAAAGTGCCACGTGGCGACTTTCCTTCCCCCCTAATTACGTGCTTCTCTCTCACTCCCCTTCTTTTTTCTTCCAATTTAACCGCACTCTCTCCTCCCCCTCCCATTGTGTTTTCTCTCCTCTCCGTGCGAACGCGAGTATAAATAAGATAACCGCGCACGATGCACTTTACGCGTCACTTGCTCTCCCATAAAACAGCCCCATTTTCCATCGACAACGCTCACTTAACTTTTTTCCTGCCGGTGAAAAATGCGTTTTCGAAACAGGACGACTTGGATTATGGATGTTCGAGGAGCGACACGAGTACCAGTAGACACGAATTTTTTCATTAAAGCGAGATTTCCTACGACCACTCAGTGCCCTGAGTTGTGTTAGCGATTTTTAAACGAACGGAGCACGTCCCGTGCGTTTTTGTACGTAACGATTCTTAAAAAAAATCAGGTGAGCCTGAATATTGATATAAGAAAATCGCGGGCTCTTTTTTTACGACAAGCATAAAACGCTATTCTCGTATTTTGTCCCCTAACGTAAACGATGCTTCGCGTCTTGAAGAGAACCCCTTGAACCTCGAGAGTCAAGAGCGATCGTAAAACTCGTTACGATGAAATCGAAAGAAGCCAGTCAATCGTTCAATTAACCTCAATTAACGTGATCGTGATTATCTACTGACCACGATGAAACCATCGAGCCCATACGGTGCAAATTGGTGGAATATTTCACGAGACTGAGCTCGCAAGTCCCCGCGGCTCAACATCCTGACGACATCGATTTTTTAATTAACAAACGATATACAGTGGGATCTTAAAATCGATCGGCAGCCTAGTCATGGTCCAGAAATCCTTAATAAAAATTGAAATTAACCACCGGTCGAATCTGCTTGAATTAATAAATGAGAAAGGAATCATGAACGAAAGAGATGACGATGTTTTTGAAAAGAACCTATATACTTCCCCCTCCATCTCGTTTATTACACTTCCACTGGCGAATTTATTGAAAATTATCTTCCAAGAACCTTCGTCCATTCCCCGAGTTATTTTCACCACACGTCCCTGAAATTGAGATTCAGAATATGGATTCAGCGAGCCACCCTACACTTCTATTCTTCTAGTGGTCGATTTAAGGGGTCCCCATAAAACTCTGCCGGAGGAGATGGAGAACCGCGTGGTGGAAGGAACAAATAACGGAGCAGGGAATCGTAAGAAATAATATACGATAAATCTCAGCCACGATGTTCCATGGTTATTCAAGGGGTGAAGGTGGTGCGTGTGCGCACGCGCGCGAGCGTGCAAGTCCTTTTACGCGCGTAACCCCGCGGTGCTCAGGG